ATTAAAATTTTATTATAAAAATTAATTTTAAAAAAATTAATGCAAGCAAATTTGCCTGTGTTACAATCTAAGGGATACAGAGAAATATAAACTGACAAATTGGGCAGTGCAAACACTAAATAAGTTCTTATAATCATGTAAATCTATTGAAATTGAATAACAAGAAGTCTATTTGGAAAGACCCAAGTAGAGAGATAGTCAGATCTTTAATAGCTTTACTGTAAAGGCTAGTCTAGAGAAATAAATATTAAGGTTGTAGTATTCAGTTATAGTAGCCAAATAGGCAAGAACTTCTAAATTAAAAGTCTTAAAGGTACCATTAATCAGACTGTTAAAATAAACTAAAGAAAAAGAATATCAGATTAACCTAATATACTAATAGATTGGTTATAGTTCTATATAAGTTATCTGTATTAGAAGTTTAGTAAAAAGGCTAAACAAAAGGCAGAAGTATACTAAAGTACTAGGGTTATGCTATAAAGTAGATGCTGAGGTCTGTGTGAACTCTATAAGGATACAGTAATTAAATGATATAACTTTAATTACAAGTGTTGGTTCTGCTATAGCAATATCTAGATCAGTTATAAAAATTAGTACAAAAGGCTTTAGAGAGTTTACCTCAAGAATAAATTAGTTCTAAGATTGAGATGATAATCTGAACATCTGAATATGATCCAGTAAGTTAATACAGATTACAGGTTCAGAAGGTTTAAAGTAGAACATTCAAGCAGAGGTGTTAAATATAACAATTAGTAAGAAATCTTCAGATGAACTCCTTAAATAGGTAATATCGAAAAGTTATACATATAGCCAATTGTATTTTCTCTTGTAGTGGTTCATAGAATTACATTATCAGAATTACATTATTAATAAGTTGTTAATAAAAATCAAAAGACCAAAAAGGTCACCTTAATACCAAAAAACAAAAAATTATAATTTTTGATATAAATAAAAATGTTATATTAAAAAGATCAATGATCTCTCTCTCCTGACTATCATGTTTAGGAAAAAGGATAATTTTAAAAAGACAAAATAAACTTGACTCAAGGCTTTACTAACTTCAAAAACAGTAGCAGAACAGAGGCTTTTCCCCTTGTTTCTAGAAAGTGCAAGACTTTTATCTTTAAAGTCTACAGAAATAAGAAAACTAAACTGGCAACAAGCCTTTTAATTAAAAAACAACTAACTAAAACTACAACTAATTTTCTTCTTGGAAAAAATATTATAGCAACAGAAACTATCTATGATGATTTAACTGTCACTATGCAAGATAACTTCTTGGATAATATTAGCTGGGACAAACAAGTTATGTTGGAGAATGAAAAGAGACTTCTTGAAGAAAAAATAGACCAAAATAACAACACAGTCGCGTCTAGTTCCAAAACATGTCTTGAAAAACAAAATAATAAGGAAAACAAAACAACAACATCTCATACAGAACAAAATAACATGTCTTTTGCAAAACTTGATGCAATGGATACAAACAAAAACAAAGGAACCTCAAGTAAATCATGGTCAAGCCTTTTCGCAAAAGTCAAGAGAGGACAGTCAACCTTCTCTTTATTCTTACCAAGAAACAACATAAGATCTAAAAATGATAATGCATTCATACTAGATATTCATAACCTTAATGGTTCATTAAATGAAATTATGATCTCACTCTATAAGACAGCAAAATGAGATATAATTGCTGCTAAGGCACACATAAATAGAGAATCTTGTACTCATTTAGAACTAATCTTCACTAATAAGGAAAAGCTTAAACACTATGCTACAAAAGAGGTTGAAATTTTTAATCGTACATACTATGGACATATTCCAGTCAACTCTAGAAAATCCTTCTTGCCAGTCAAGATTAGAAATGTTCTTTTAGAGGATAAGGAATTTATTTTAGAAAGAATTAAAATTGCTTTCAAGAACTTTGATAAAATTGCATCAATTAAGCCATTGTTAATAGAAGGCACACCTTATCTAATAGACCAGTAGATTATTACTTTCGAGACTACAGATAATGCAAACTTAGAAAAAAAAATTCACTGATTTTATATTTTACTTGATAACAAGATCACTACAGAATGGTGTGCAGCTCCCAAGCTCTGCTACTTCTGTGACAATAAGAGACATATTAAAAAAGACTGCAAGAAATACCAGGAAGCTAACGAGCTCCATCGTCAATATAAAGAATTTCTTTCTAACAAAAGAAAAGGAAAACTCTCATCAGAAGGCTTGAAAAATACAAACACAATCCAGCAAGAACAAAACAACATCTCGGAAGAGCTAAATATTGAAGAGCATCAACAAGAAGAAACTCTTTTAAATACAGCTATCAGTGAAGAAAATAATGAAACAAACAGCACTATACTAGCAGAAAAAGATTTCAATTGTCTGGTTGAGGAGGTTATGGATGATATCAATGATAAAACACCTGTTATAAAAGATCCAGCTACAGGTTCTTCAATAAAAATTAAAAAACCAAAAACTCAAAACATTCTAGTTGTACTTATTGCAAATAATAACAAACTACAACTCCAATCAGAAAGCCCAGATGATGGATTTACCTTAATTTCACAAAGGAAAAAAAAGGACAAAAAAAGTAAAAAAGATCTTACAAATCAGAAAGTTGAAACAACTAGACCTGCTTCT